TCCCATTCTTCAGGTTGGACATGATGTAGAATCACACTGGTTGTGTAGTCATAGATGTACATAAGGTAATAATGCCGGATCCTTTCTACTATCCTTTTTTTCCCTCTCCCCTCCCTTCACTCTCCTCTACCTAATGTAAAGTAAGTCTATTCTTCCCCAGTGCCCCACCCTTAATGTGCATTAGCATCTGCATATGAGAGAAAACATTTGGCCTTTGAGTTTTTGGGGTTGGCTTATTTTGCTTAGCATGATATTCTCCAGTTCCATTCATTTACCCGCAAATGATGGAATTTTGTATCTTCAGGAAATCAATGCTGTTTTTGTATTCCCAGGAGTTTCTTTTGTGTGGGAGAGTTTGGTATGCATTGTAGAAAAACGTGTGTTTCAAATGACAGAAGGGCCTGATGACATTTAGACTTTAGATAATGTTAGGCAGGTTAGATTATGGCGTAGCTTGGATACCAGTACTGTAAGGCTCCTGTTATAGCTGGAAATTTAAGTTTTTTTCTTTTTTATTTTTTAAGGTAAGAAGGGAAAACAGGCCCTTTGTTGGTTTTCTGGATGTTGAGGCTGGTGTGTGATCTCATTGGCTGGTGAAGGCTGTGGAAACCCGGCCTTTGGGTCCCACAACTTGAAGTCAGCTAGATCTAGTATAATATCCTATCTGGACATGGAATAGGCAAATATCAAACCAGTGGCTTTCAGCATTTTTGTTTTTAAAGCTGGGAAGCCATTTTATTAAACAAAATCTTGCCCAGAAACCACATTTGTTAAAATAAAACAAAACCGGAGACAGGAGCCACAGGGATGGGTGTCTCAGGTACCTCACAAAAATGTCCTAGAGCTTCTCAGAGCATAGTTGTGGGGGGATAACAAGCCCACATTACAGGTTTTCCTTGTTGCCTTGTAAAAGACAGAGGGAAAGGAGAGCAGAGGATCAATAGAGGAGATGAATAAGAGAAAAGCACGTAGAATGATGGAGAAGGAATGATGGAAGGTGGCAGGAAGCACCTGGCAGAGGAGCTGAGTATTCTGGTGTCAGTGCAGAGCACATCAGCTGCTGTGGATCTAGCACCTACCGTGTGCAGAGCTGTCCCTAATTGATTAGCTTGTCCTCATAGTAGCCCATCTAGCTACATCTGAAAAAACTAAATGTGGAGAAATTAAGTTTCTTCCAAGATACCAGATTTTCCAATATCAGGTGATGGAATTGGAGCCCAGGGAACCTGTCTGCAGTCCACTGTGGTACCACGACGCACATAATAGGCAGCCAGAGTCCTTAAGCTGAGTGGTTTACTAGTGTTACATTTCTTAATACTAGTAGTGCAAAAGAGTGCTGGGGATGTAGCTCAGTGGTAGAGCTCTTGCCTAGCATGAGTGGGGCCCAGGTTACATCCCTAGCACACACCACACATACACACACACACACACGTACGCACCTGAGTGACCTGGTTTAGAAATCTTAGAAATCTTTGCATGAGAGATATTTAAGGTGAGGAAGGAAATCAGAGAGCAGACCACCTTGCTCCAGGGCTGGAGAGGGCCGGTGTCTCTATGTTGAGCCACCTGCAGACCTCTGGTTAAGTGTTTTCCTCTATGTGCAATATTGCCTGTGAGTGTATGGATTCTACTTTCCCCACTGCCACCAGTAATGTGTGTTCTTGAGCAAGCCACCCTGCCTCTCTGGGTCTTTTTTTCATCTCAAAAGTGGAGTAGATGTCATGTTAGAGGCAATGGTTTGATTTATGTCACTGTCAGCCAAATAAGGTAGTGGAAGGAAGGACGAGGGTATGGTGTACATAGATAGACTTTTGGACCATCCCCTCAGGGGTTAGAATACAGGATGTGCTCCTTAACCTAAGTGCCTTGGTATTATAAAATGATGCTGTGTGCCTTATCTCGAATTGAGACCATTAGACTTAGGAAATAATCATTTTATTTGATCCTTTATTGTTAGTGTCTAAAACAAACATAATTAAATGCTGCTGTTTAAAGGGACATTTCAAAAAAGAATTTCCAATCCTCATTGGGGTTAGTGTCGAGGGATTGTACAGATCCTAGACAATTTTGGTCTTAAGGTTTATTCCTCCTTCTTTCTATATAATGTCCTTTTACCTCTCCTGTGACATGATGAATATGTGCTGGATCCCGGTATAAATAAAATGTTTTAGTGGGTCACATCGAAACGTCAGTGACTTAATGAAAGATGATTGCAGATATCTTGGTCCAGTCATGTCCACTGTGTGTTTTTAAAATAGAGCCTCGTCCAGTGTCTGGGCTTCGTGTTACCTTCATGGGTGTGACGCTGCTTGCTCTTAACTGGATCAAGGACAACGGTACTGAGTCTTTCCAGATTCTCCTTGAAACCAATGGAAGTCAGACAGAGATGACCAGAGACTTGGCCATCAATATTTCAGTCCTGAAGCCGGGGTTTCCGCTTCGTCCAGAATCAAACGAGACGCAAGGAGACACCCTGGGTATGGACAGTGACTGGGGGAAGTTGTGAAAGTGTGTCTCCTAGTTTTGCCTTTCAGCAATGTTTTATTTAAAAAACATTATTCTTATATTGGTAGAGGGTTTCAGGGTTTGTAGAGGGCTTTCCCACCACACTTTAGTTTGATCCAATTCCTTTATGAAGGAGGAAAGAGTGTTCTTATTTTACAGGTGAATTGGGGTTCAGAAAGCAGTGGGTCTTCAAACTTCTGGACTCTGCCATCCATGAAAGGAGGCGGACCTCTTAGCTTTTTATTTTTCACTGGAACAAGTAACAGGTGGATTAACCCAAGTAGAGCCAGAGCTATAAAGTTGGTGTTGGGATTCTCTACTGCAAGTGACAGACAGAAATCAGACTTTGGAGAGGGATTCATGGTGCGCGTGTGTTTCCCCACCTCAGGCAGCAAGGCCTTAAAGAAAGATGGGGGGCATTTCTCCTCTCTTCTTCCTTCTGTTTGGCAGCTTCTTGTCAGAGGGGCCCCTTCCACACACTCAGGGAGTAGTGGCCACCAGGCCTCCCTGTTTCGTACCCTGCGTCTCCCCTACCCACTGCGGTCCAGAGAGGCATTCCCCGAGTGGGCTTTGGTTACCAAAATCTGAATCATGGACCGTCTCTGGAAGATCATGTTGGGATGGGAGAAGAAAAATGTCCCAAAGAAGGGAGAATGGTCCAAAATAGCGAACTTGAGAGAGAAGCACAAAATATCTGGGGTGTTATTGGAATAACAACACAAAGTAAAATATCAAGGCCTTTTTAAGAGACCATATCTCTCTTTAGGGGAGGAAGGGAGCAGATATTTATGGAGTATCAAATGTGGGCATGGTCAGATGTGTCATCTTTTGGGGAGTGGGGACACTGAAAGAAGTTGGGGATGTGTTTCTCTTGTGGTCAGTGTCTTTGCTTTCTGCACTTAAAACAGATGCCAGCAACACGGGAAAGGAGGTGAGCACACACCCGCCATGCAGCAGCCCTCCGGGCCCTGTGACTGCATACTGCCATGTATCTGCAGACCCATCCTCTGGCCAGGAGTCCCAACACATTGACGTCCTACTTGTTGGGGTGAAGTCCAACACTCAATACAAGGCCACTGTTTATTCTCAAGCGGCAGATGGCACAAAAGGACAGCCCCAGGCCATCGAGTTCAGGACAAGTATGTCGGATTTTGTGTGATGATTTCAACCTGGGTTTCCCAGCACAGAGTTTTACCTCCTGTGATTATGGATCTGAGTTATCTGTGGCTTGTCAATGAGTTCTGTGGTCAGGGAGAGTTTTCTGGGAGAGATTTTGGGCAGCACAGATCTGTGGGGTGTCTCCGTTCGTCTGTGGCTGTAGTACGCCTTTCATGAGGCTCAGGAGAGCACCCGGGCAGCTGCTGTGTGCAGGCTGTGGCCCCAACTCACGTGTCTTTCCTGTCTCTGCTTGTTAGTTCAAGAGACAACTGCGGTCATGTTTTTTTCTCTTATAAATAGATAATCGTTGCCTAATTTTCCCCACTGTTAGATGAGGAAATGAGTTTCCCTTTTTGGCTTGTCCTTGGAATTCACGCTGATCTTTCTGTGGAAACGCTTGTTGATAAGCACATCCCTCCTCCCTAGCTGTGATCCATCAGCACTTCTGCTCTATCAATTGACCAGTGCTCGGTGGCTTTTGGGGTCAGTGCTGATGAGGGAGTAAAGAAATACACAGTTCCTACCCTCAGGGAGCTCCCAGTGCAGATGGGGAGTTGAGACAAACCTTCATAGAGAAGAAGGTGGTGGGGCTCAGGGACAAAGGCTGCAACATCACAGTTCCTGGGGCCTTGGTGGCAGGACTGTGAACAGGCCCACAGAACTGAGGGACTGAGGGTGGAGGTTGGCAGAGCAAGGACAGGAAGCACACCAGCACCCAGAAAGCTCTGGGAGGGTTGGGCCACACCAGGTCCAGTGACCCCCTCAGGATTTAAAGTCTCTGGAAGGAGAGAATGTCATACCTGCTTGCTGGGTGGCTGTGTGGGGAGAAGGAGCCACTGTCCCCCAGCTTCCATGTGAGGGACAAGTGGTTCCTCCCACCAAGGATGTTGGGGTGTTGATGGAAGGAATGCTTACTGCACAGGTAACACGTGGGCACCGACCCCTGGGTCTGCCCAGGGAGTGCTGTGGCTATTGGAGGTGGGAGCTGATTTTAACTTCCGTTCCCGAGGGAAGACCTCTTCTGTAGGGAGGATCTGAAGTCCCTTTGGAGGGGCAATAGGACTAGGATAGAGAGAAGGGAGAGCAGGACACCTCAATGAGGAAATGTCCTGAGTGAAAGAGCAAGTGACAGACCCCAGGTATGAAGGTAGAGGGCTGAGGGCGGTGGAGGGGAGATTAATGGGGGACTGTAACTCTCCTTTCCAGGCCCATCTGGGGAGCTTTGAATTTGTGTGTGTGTGTGTGTGTGTGTGTGTGTGTGTGTGTGTGTGTGTTTGCATTTTACATTTTAGTCAATTTGGGCTGCTGTAACCAGTTACCACAGACTTGGACAGCTATTGATTTCCCACAGTCCTGTAAGCCGGAAGTTGGAGATTGGGGCACAAGCATAGTTGGTTTCTGGTTGCAGGCCCTGTGTTGGGTTGTAGACCCTGGGTCCTCACACGCAGAAGGGGTAAGACAGGGCCTCTTTTGTGACAGCACTAATCCCATCCACAGGCCTCCACTCCCATGACCTGATCCCCTTCCCACAGCCCTACCTCCTGTACCATTGCCTCAGCAGTTAGGATTTCCACATACCTGGGGGACATAAGCGTTCAGTCCCTTGCACACACATGCACACACATGCCTGGCATTCTCCAAGTGACTAGTTAGGTGGGGCAGGGTTAAGGAAACCAGAGGGGTTTGAGGTGCCCCACATAAGCCCATGGCAGGGATACATCTTGAAGGCAAGGGGAGGCGATGGTTTTTCTGGATCCCAGGGAGTGCTGAGCCAGGGGAGGGCACAGAGGTGCCAGGACATGGGGCACAGAGCAGGAGCATGGAGGAAGGACCCCGACTGCTCTCCTCCAACCTGCCCTCAGCAGCCCGACATGTCATTCACTGTGGAACCTGCGCACAGGCCATGTGGTAGGGCCCCCAGTGATGCTCAGCCCTCGATGGCACAGAGCAGAAAAGAGGAAAGAGGATGGACTGGGAGGTTGGGGTGGGAAGGGACAGTGACGAGTGTGCTCTTGAATTACTTTTCTTTTTTTCTGGGACTGAGGACCACTGAACTGCATCCCCAGCCCTTCTTTAAAATTTTGACACAGGGCCTTGTCAAGTTGCTTAGACTGGCCTTGAACTTGCAATCCTCTTGCCTCAGCCACCTGAGCGGTTTGACAGGAGGGCCCCACCCTGTCTGGCTTCTTTTGTTCTCTTTTGCTTGAGATTAGGGTTGTTATCTCCATTTTATAGATGCGCAAATTGAGCTGAGATGATTTTTCTAAGGTCTGCCTGACTATTAAAGCTCAGCCAGCCTTGATCAGATGTGCCTCAAGCCTGAGCCTGTGGTCTTTAGTTGTTCATGTGGAGTTTTGCAGTGTTCGCTCCAGGATGGATATACTTGAGGACTTTCCTGGGTCACCTGGGCACCAAGTGGGGGTTGGCATCAGAAGAATCCATGTTATTGTTTGATCAGGAGCCTGTCATTTCTCTGAAGGTTGATTCACAAAAAATAACAAAGGGCATCTGTGCAGGGCCAGGTGGATTCTTCTCCCACCGGTGATGCCTGACTTTTCCAGGACCCGCGTGTGTTTCCAGTCCTGGCAGGGGTAGCAGGGAGGAGGAGCCATTCCTGCCGGTGTTTAGGCCCCGTGACGTGCTTCGTGGTGGCCCTCTCCCTTTCCCCACTCTGGCTTGGCAATCCGATTAATTTTCACTTCTCTGTGTCTTAACAGATTCTAATCAGGTTTCTGACCTCAAAGCGGTGAACGTCAGTGCCACAAGCATGACCCTGACCTGGAAAGCCGTCTATAATGGGTCATCCTCTGCTTACTCCTACAAGATACAAGTGGCCGGGGAGGCCAGTGTCCTCAATCTCACTGTCAAGGAGACTCATGCCACGGTCTCGGGACTCAACTCGAGTACCTTGTACAGCATCACGGTGTGGCCTTTCCTGGGGGACGTCGAGGGCACGCCAGGCTTTCTCCAAGTGTATACCCGTGAGTTCACCCATGGCTCTTTTTATTTTTTAAAATATATGTGTTTTTAGTTTGAAAGACCTTCATTTTATTTATTTATTTTTATGTGGTGCTGAGGATCAAACCCAGGGCCTCACAGACGCAAGATGCGCACTCTACCACTGAGCCACAACCATAGCTCTTAACTGACCTTTCTTGCATCCTGCTATGTGCCAGGACCAGCTCTAAGACAAAGAAGCTCTGTTCTTTCTCTGGAGGAGTCCCCAGAGCATCCTGTGGACCCACAGGGACGCTTCCCTTCTTTGGCCTGTGTGATCACTGGTTGCCCCTAGCACACACTGAACTTCTTGTGACATTTTTCCTTGTGCTATCTCATTGAATGCTCACAACAACCCTGTGATGTGGTTGCCATTAGCCTTATCTTATGGATGAAGAGGGCAAGACTGAGAGGTGGCGTAGGCAGGTGTCACACCTGCTAAATGACAGGGGAGATTAGACCTCTGGTCTGTCTCCATTCCAACCTGTGCGGGTAGTGACTATTCTAGCATGGTAGAGACCTAGCTGGTTCTAGAGCCAGGCAGCCTGAGCGCCAGCCATCACCTCCACTTTCCAGCTATAACAAGGATGCCCAGCAGAGCCTAGAGCTTCACCCTTGAGGACTTTACTTGCTGCCAGAAGTCCCACAGTACTTCTGCTCACATCAGATTGGCTGGAGCTTAGTCACATGGCTCCATTTGGCTGCAAAGGAGGCTGGGAAATGTAGTCTTTACTCCCTATACTCATGTACATAGCTGAAAATCTGCGGGTATGTGACAAAGGAAGTGGAGGTAGGATGGAGATGTATTTTGCAGGTCAACCGCAGACTCTGCTCTGTAAACAGAGGTCCTTCCTAAGAGGCTTAGAAAGCAGGTCGCAGTGACCAGTTATCTACCCAGAGCTGGAGCCCATGTTCCTGGGCTCTAGCCTCCTCTTGTTTCCTGGGAATGGCTTTGTATAACGTAAGCACACAGCATCTGCCCCCGTGTGGCCAGGTGTCTGTTCCATGGGGAGAAACACAGGTGTCCGTGGGCCGGTGCTATAGTTGATGGGCCAGAGAGCAGCAGACGAGAGCTCAGGTGTCCTGTGTGCTTTCCATCTCAGGGTCGATACTTTGTGAGAGTTGCTCACCCCTGTTTTCGGGGTGCAGATTCTTCACCTAATCATCCTCTGTCTTCCCACAGCCCCTGGTTCAGTGTCCAACTTTCGAGTGACGAATGTCAGCATCAGGGAAATTGGCTTAGCCTGGAGCAGCGATGACTCACAGTCCTTTAGGATTCTTACTGTGCAGGAAAAAATTGGAGAACTTAAAAATGACACAACCACCAACCAAAGTATTACCATTGGTAACTTGTCCCCTGGAACCAGTTATCATTTTGAAATATTTCCACGAGGACCGGATGGGACTGAAGGGCCACCCCAAACAGTTGACAGTAGAACCGGTAAGCAAGTGGGCTGTGCTTTCTGTCAGTGAGGCTTCTTAAAGGAAAGTTGTATGATTTATAGATGTCACGTTTTCCACGTGTTGCTTTTCTTTTTATTAAGGAAAAAAACCTTTAAAAACTTTTCATGACACTTTTGCATATCATGATTTAAAAAACAGGCAAATGAAAAAAAAATGCATGTAACCTATCAGGTGATTCAGTTGAGGTCATTTTATGCATGTGGTTTTGTCACCTGTCTTAGCCCACTTAACCGTTTGTTATCAGTATTTTCCCCTGTCAATGTGAGTGTTTCTACAAGATATTTTTGACACCTACCTTGTATTCCATTGTGTAAATGTTGGGACACTGGTAGGTAGTAATGGTTGATGGGTGTGTGTGTTTTTGTAACTTCAGTTTTACTGGAACACAACCATGCTCATTTGTGTACTGTCTATGCCTTTTTTCATGCTACAAAGTGAGTAGCATTGACAGAGAATTTATGGCTTAAAAAGAATGAATACTTATGTTCTGATCCTGGCTGAGAAAGTTTTCTGACCCCTGATCTAGAACAGTGTTCTCAAAGTGTGGTCCAGGAGCTCTAACAGTGTTGTAGTCAGATTTTTTTTTTTTTTTTTTTTTTTTTTCTGCTGTGACCAAAAGACTTGGCAAGAACAAGCAGAAAAGTTTATCTGGGGCTCATGGTTTCAGAGGTCTCAGTCCATAGATGACCGACTCCATTCTTTGGGGCCCGAGGAGAGGCGGAACATCATGGCGGAAGGGTGAGGGTGAGGAAAGCGGCCCGGGATGTCACAACATGGAAGTAGAGAGAGACTACACTCAGCTCTCAAAATATAAACCTCAGAGACACACCCCTGGGACCCAGTTCCTCCACCCACTCTCACCACCCAGTTAATCCTTATCAGGGATTGACACACTGATTGGGTTAAGACTGTCACAACCCCATCATGTCACCTCTAAACTTTCTTGTCTCACGCATGAGCTTTTGAGAGACACCACATGTCTAACCTTAACAAGTGGCCCCCTGTTTTCTTTTGGAGGCTCTGTGAGGTATCACCACCACCACCATCATCATCATCATTGTACTAAAATCTTTTTTGACTTTCCCGCTCATTCTCTCAAGAGTATATAGTGGAAATTTCTAGATACTGTGTGAAATGGGATGTCATTTTCATTCTGATGGCCAATGGGATGTATGCTCTGCATTCTTATGTTTTAAAAAATTCCTTATTTTAATTTCTAATACAGTAAATATTGGTAGATATAACCTATATACAAAAAGTTCTCTGAGATTCTTAATAACTTTTAAGAAGGGAAAGGGGTCTGGAGACCAACAGGTTTTAAGAGCTGTGGTCTAGATGTGTTTGTTGTAAGTCAACTACTACCCTGTGTTCGGGCACCTCGACTGTTTAAGATATTTCAGAAAGAACTTTGTGACACGGTTTTGTTAGTTCTATAAAGATAATTGATATTGATGAAACAATTTCATGTAAATAGTTTAAATAAGTCATTGAATTATTCCTAGGTTGACTGGAGAAACTTTTTGGAATTCCTTGCTCATTATTATTATCACTATTATTATTTATTTATTCTTTTTAGATATACATGACAGTAGAGTATCTTTTGATATATTATACATATGTGGAGTTTCATATATGAACATAGAAAACCTACGTCCAATTCATTCTATTATCTTTCCTATTCCCATCTCCCCTCCCTTCCTTTCATTCCCCTTAGTCTAATCCAATGAACTTCTGTTCTCCCCATCCCCCACCTTATTGTGTGTTGGCATCCGCATACCAGAGAGAACATGGGGCCTTTGGTTTTTGGGGATCGGCTTATTTCACTTAGCATCATAGTCTCCAGTTCCGTCCATTTACCAGCAAATGCCGTATTTATTTTTCTTTATGGCTGAGTAATATTCCATCTCATAGGTATACCACATTTTCTTTATCCATTCATCTATTGAATGGCATCTAGGTTGGTTCCATAGTTTAACTATAGTGAATTGAGCTGCTATAAACATTGATGTGGCTGTGTCCCTGTAGTATGCTGATTTAAAATTTTGAGTATAAACGGAGGAGTGGGATAATGAGGTCAAATGGTGGTTCCATTCCAGGTTTTCCGAGGAATTTCCATCCTACTTTCCATAGTGGTTCACCAATTTGCAGTCCCACCAGCAGTGTATGAGTGAACCTTTTTACCCACATTCTTGCCATAAAGTTAATTTTTGTTGTTTTTAAAGTTTGGCATAAATTTTTCAGAAAGCATGGAAAACATACAGTACTCCTCTATCTTTGACTGCAAGATATTAAGACCCTTTATATCAAGGGCAAGAAAAATAATGAGTTGGAGTCTTTGAGACACACAAGTCCTTCTGGCTGGGGAGGTGTCTTCCACCCTCTTGGGTTGGTGAAGTGGTGCTGGTTATGGCAAAGCATTACTAGTCTGCTTCCAAAATACTGCAACAGGTAAAATCTGTCCCTCAGGCAAAATTCAGTAGCTCACCTTTTAGGTGAGACTGTTGAGATGGTGGTTCAGTCTTATTCTGAACATTGGTAAGAAGATCATCTCTGAGAACCCTTGATACACCGTGTGACTCGCTAATACCGAGTTATTGTAATAATCACGTGATGTGGTGGGAGTCTGCGGAGTGCTGGGTTCTCCTTGCTGTATTTAAAATCTTCAACTTGGTGGGATAGGTTCTGTTATCTCTGTTTGATAGAACAGGAAATGGGGGGGAGGCTCTGTGAGTTTTAGTAAATGGCCGAGAGTGACAAAACGGCACATGGAGACCAGGGGTTTGACCACCGTGTGGACTGACAGGGATGTGGTGTGGCTGCACAGCAGTCTAGTATCCACCAGGAGAAGATGTCTTTCAGGGCAGCTTGGAGCTGGGTCCTGTGGAAGGGAAATCAAGAAGGCTCGCAGGGAGGCCCTAGAGGCCTAGGGTTACCTGTCCATTGTTGAGTAGCCGTCACTGTTATTGAGAAAAACCAGTTTAACAGCAGGAAAGGCAATTTTGAAGAAGGAAAATAAATTCCATGTGACCCAGCAATTCCACTTGTAGGTATACATCCATGGGAATTGAAATCAGAGTGTGGAGCAGTTCCTTGCACACCAGTGTTCCCAGTGGTGTATGCACAATTGCCAACAGGTGGCTGCAACCCAGGGTCCATCAGCAGGTGAGCGGATGGACAAAACGTGGCTTCTCCATGCAGCAGAATATTCTTGAGCCATAGAAAGGAGTGGAGCTCTGATAACATACAGCATGGATGGAGGTTGGAAATGTTGTGCTTGGTAGGATGAATGCTATGGGATTCCACCACATGGGGTGCCTAGGTAGGCAGGCTCGTGGAGACAGAGGGTAGAACAGGGGTTACGGGGGCTCGGGAGTTACTGTTCAATAGACACAGAGCTTGTGTTGGGATGATGAAAATGTCTGGGGTGTGATAGCGATTACACTAGGAAGGGAATGTGTTTAAAGCCACTGAGTGGTACACTAACAGACGGTTACGATGACTCCTGACCTGATCAAATTCTGTTTCTCTCTGGGTCTAGATTTTATTTACATCATCATAGCTATTATGCACATAATTTTATTTTGTATTTGAATCTGTGTTTTACTCAGCGGACACCATTATGCCCTCATAGTTATCATGGCCCACAGCTCTCCCTCCCACCCTTATTGGAATATTTAGGTTATGTCTGTTTTTTTGTGTATGTTTATAGAAAAAAAGCTGCTTTGCATAGTCTTTTGTCTGTGGGTCCCTTTGACATCAGGAAATTGGGAGTAGGGAGACAAGGCTTTGCACACTGCTCCCTTTAGGAGGACCCATTTAAAATATTAATTATTTTTGGAGCAAATAGTACATACGTGTATTACTGTTTTAGTGGAAATGTTCCCCTTTCTTGTCCCCCAACCACCCAATTCTTGTCCCCGGAGGTGACCTTGATGACTGGGTAGAGAGGAGGCTTTTGAAAGCGAGGGCAGAGAAGACGCCCTGCTTACATTGTTATTTCCGGGCTGCAAGTTTGCATTCACCTTGTACGTGGTCAGGTATGGAGCGGTCCAAGTCCAGGCTCGCACTGACTTCTCTGTGGACTCCCAGCTCTGTGGTGGGAGCACTCCTGGGCGTTCTTCCCTTCCTCCCCCAACCTCAGGTGCTCCAACTTAGTAATAAGTCAGCTCCCCTTTTCAGTTTTCAGTGTTCCAGGCTCTGTCACAATAAAGCATTTTTTATTTTGAGGGAATGATCTAAAACAAACAAGCTCTCTATTGAGGTGTGGTGTACAAACCAAAAAGTGCACACACATCCTCGGTACATAGTGTGATACGTTTTCACGAACCAAACACACGGGAGTACCAGCTCAGATGAAAGAACCAAGCACGATTTCCACTTCAGAAAACCCCTGGAAGGGGTCACTTTTCAACAAAATCAAAAGACCCGAGAACTGGTAAGTTCATCCAAGTCACGGAGGAGCCTGGATTCTTGAAAGAACTTGGTGTATTTCTTTCCCCAGTTTTGGAGTTTGCCCTCTGCGAGCTCGTTGCGGAGTTTGATGACAGAAGAGCAGGTTTTTTTTGGTTGGACGAGTTGAAAGGAAACCGGTTGTCACGATGGTCGTGTTTTCCTTTTTCCTTTCTTTCCTCTGATTAGACACTAGTGTGGTGTTTGACATCCGTGTGGTCCGTGTCACCACCAACGAGATGCAGCTGGAGTGGCAGAACACAGATGGTGCAGCTGAGTACATCTACCATTTGGTTGTCTGGTCTGAGAACTACATCAGGGAAGAGAACATCTCGGGGAAAGCCGTCACACTGCAGAACCTCAAGCCAGGCACCTTATACAACATCTCAGTCTCTCTAGTCGCTGACAAGGGGCACCCCAGCTCCATTGTCCAGTACACACGTAAGTCTCTTAGGATGCCCTTCTAGGTGAGAGTCTCCCTGCCTGTCACTTGGGGGCAGCACTGGTTGGATGATGGGATAAGGGTCCATTGTGTTTCTGGGATCCAGGGTGACCTTGAAGTGGCTTCAGTGGAGAACCTCAGCTTTGGCAAAGGTTCTCCTGTTCTCATCGGGCAGCACCTGGTGTGGAACCTGTGCGAACGTGGAATTGTCCTTGTTTATTTTTTGTGATCCTGAGGATGGAACCCACATTCTAGGCAAGCACTGAGCTACATCCCTCGCTCCCTTTAAATTGCCCAGACTGACCTGGAACTTGAAACCCTCCTGCATCGGTCACTGGGATTACAGGTGTATACTGCCGTACCTGGCTTTCGAAACAAAGCGATCTACTCCATGGGAGTGGAGGACATAACTGTTCTACTCATTCCTTGGGAACACAGACTGGAGGAGAGTCACCTGGTCACACTGGTATTGGAAAATCCTGCTTGGATGAGGAGCTTTGCTTGTAGGGAGGGAGATGTTTTGCTAATATTCAAACCAAACAGACGGTAGCAATGTTAGTTTATAATATACCTTCAGTGTATTTCCCCCTTTTCATCAGTCAGATTTGAAAAACAGATTGGAAATCAGACCTTAAAAATACATTTCAGATACACCTTGAGGTATTAGAAGAAGTCTGAAAAACTTTAACTCTTTTCAGATTTGACCTGTATAATTATTTCCTGAGTGTCTTTTTGGGAAAGTCTTCTGTCCTTTGAGCCAGCACATATTAGCTTTTATTCATTCTTCTGAAGGAAACGGGGCTGTTTTTGCATATGGTAAGTAAAATAGTCCTGGAATTCAAATTAGTCTGTGCTTTTCTTTAAATCTTTTTTTTTTTTTTTTTTTTAAATCAAGGGCCAAGCAATGTGTCCAACATGACAATAAAGACCACCAGCACAGCGGCGACCCTGCAGTGGTGGAACCAGGACACGGCCTCTTCCTCATACTCCTACCGCCTTCTGATTGCGAAGGCTGATAATTCCAGCAGCGCGACTCAAGTGGTCAGGACAGACGTTGGGGTCACTAATGCCACAGTCGGGGACCTGATGCCTGGCTCACATTATAGAGTGGAGATCTTTGCACAGGTGGGGAATGCCACCGAGTCGCTGCCATTCCTGGAGTCATTCTGTACAGGTGAGCAGCCCCAGGTGCCTCTCGGTCCTCTGCCTGTGTGGTGCTGACCATGTCCTCACGTCGTCCTCCCTGGCCGGTGGTTTCTTAGGTCCCAGGTGGTGTGCAGTAGTAGGTGGCTGGCTGAGACGTCCTGTTGTCCTGGTGCCCTTCAGTCAGCAGATGTTTACTGCGCGCTTGTTGGGTGCCAGATTTTATTTATTTTATTCTGGCTGGGAAGACAAATAATAAAGATAAATGAGTAAATTGTTAGGTGATCACTACTGCTAAAGAGAGGAGGAGGACACAGAGAAGGGCACCATGGGATGTTGATCTAGGGTGTCCAGGCAAGGCTCAATGAAAAGGCAATTTTGAGCAGAGATCCCAAAGAAGGGAAGGAGCCAGCGTGTGGCTGTCAGAGTATCCAAGCATCACACATGAAGGAGCAGCCGTGCAAAGGCCCTAGTGCCGGGTTTCTGTTCGCGATTAAAAGGCTCAGGGGTCACTCCAGTTGAACTGGGCTGTGCAAAATAACCACACAAGAGACACAAATTCCTTTGTCTTTGGGGTTGCTGTGACGGCTCCTCTGACCTTAAGGGTCCACAGGAAGAGAGAGAGAGAGAGAGAGAGAGAGA